GGGGAATTCTGGAAAGTACAGTACCTGCACTTTGTCGGTTAATTCTATTTTCAGATATAAAAGTATAGCAAAGAGTAATGGGAAATTTCGAGAGACGACACGGATATACAAACGCAGGTGGACACGGTTGGATAGGAATAAAGTATTTCGCTATTTCCCGCACCTGCTGAATCCATACCGCGACCACCTTCCGGATTTCGAAATTATTTTTTAAGGTTCTCGGCCGCTCGACGCCGAATCGGGCTACTGCAACGAGCGCGTCTCTTATCAATTGTTGTCACGCACCAAAAATCAAATGAAGAAAGGTTGCTCCTCGGAGTGGCGCCCCTAGCCTAATTTTAACTCTCTTCGTTTCATTGTAATCTTTGACAGGAATATCCTAAACTCCTCCTCGAGCGAATCCGTAGCGAGTCGAGTAGAGATCCAACTACCCGAACCTTCTGTGTAGGGGAATGAACCCCAACTAGTGGCCAAGTATAAACATTACTGGAGTGCTACTGGGGGAGCATTAGCAAGTGTTAAGCTAAATAAACATTAGGGCGCGGCGTGGCCTCCTTCCTCGCCATCCTCGCCATCCTCGCCATCCTCGCCATCCTCACGCCTCTACAACACTAAGGAGAGAAGTGTCTCATGGGGATGCTCCTCTTTAAAATTGTGCAAGACGTCCTGCGATCGAGAATTTTTCAGGAAACTCGGGGGAGAAATCCTTAGACGCGCTCGATCGCTCGATCCTCCCTCTTTGATTATTATTAAATGAATTTGTCATGTTCATGTCATCCCTTGGTGTGAACCAACGTAGAAGCGTTGCCGCCGCGTTACTTGAGCGAATATCGCACGAGTGCTTTCGAGTGCCCTCTCGTAACTAAGATAAGACGCCAAGGCAGTCGGCGCTGCTGGCTCCAAGTCCTGAGAACGAGGAGGCACAATCGGTCGGGAATTATAGTCGGCGGCAACGGCTGTTCGACACGTCGACCTAAGCGCCATTCACCCATTCACTTTACGTATCTTATCTTGCGACGGTAAGTGGCTCTCAATTATGAAACGAGTCTTTTCACAGTTGATTATCCGACGTGCATTACACACGATAACGATTCCCTGTTCGAAGAGTCCCTGATCCCGTCTCTGTGCCTCGGATGCCGCTACTGTTACCTGCACGGCAGCTACTTTCAACTCCTGAGCTTTGCTTTTGCAGCTTACCCTTTGGATAGCAGCCAAAAGAGTCCTCTTTGCCTGAGCCTTATGCGCTTTCGCTGTAGGAGGATCAAACGCGACACGTTTGGCCCAACGAACGAATTAGTTTGATGGAAGGTTTCGAAGAAAGAATCCAGAAGATATTGAAGGTGTAGAAAGAGAGAGAGAGAGAGAGAGAGAGAGAGTTGGGGAAAGGAGGCTGGGGAGAGGGGTGCATCTTGGTCCCGTGTTAGTATCTGTATGCATACTTATGTATACTTGAGTGAGTGTACGAGTGTGCCACGTGCTTCATGGCGAGTCATCTTTTCTGTTGCAGATGAGAGCGACACTACTAACTGTACTTATTGAAACTATACCTCCTCTTCGTGGTACACACTTTTATAATTTGTGTGTTTAAAGTAAATAGGGTGTACGGTGGGCAGAGGCAGTAGCTCTGTATTCAGATCAGCATCATTTATTCGGCATTTTATTTTATTTATCACTCATGCAATTTTACAGAGCAACATTAACTTCAACTTTCCCGTTGGCCTTTGAAAGAAAAGAGGCAGATATTGGGGTCGAGCAACCGCCGAGCGTGCCCGAGCGTCGGGGGACGTATAAAGTCTCGAGTTGAGGACTAATATACGACCTATGGAAATAATGGAAATAATGGAAATAATGCTGCCGCATGAATAGGTCGAAAGGGAGTCGAACGGGATCGGAGAAGATGCCGGAGGATACTGGAGGATGCTGGAGAGTGCTTAGAAGTTGTTATAGAGGGTGCGCGCGTCTTGAATTTATGTTAGGTAACAAAGTAAATTATGATCCTTGGTCCTGCTTTGTATCTAAAGCGTGCTTTGGCTCGTTACTTCACGTGTACTTGCCTCGCCATCTCCTCTTTCTTTCTTTTTCTTTCTTCGTCAAGGATACTCTCCGT